TGGATTGTTAAAGGAAAATTGGAGGAACATAATTTGTTGATTCATTTTGGTGATAAGATATGAGGCTATAGGACAAGATAATGGATAAGTGTTTACCTTGGGTATAGATGAAGTGGTAAGACTTTGAGATCGAGTATGTGTACCTAGTGAACTTATGCTTAGGTGGTTGATCTTTAGAGAGGGTCATAAAAGAAAAGCTAATATTATGGAAGATGCCTTGAGTAGGATGACCATTCACCTACCATCTTTGATGATTTAAGGGTTGGATTTGATTGAAGAACTTAGAGACTTAAGCGTGATGTGTGAGCTCACCCTTAGAAGCATTGAATTTAGTATGTTGAAGTGACTAATGAATTAATGTGTCAGAGCAAGTACACCTACTAGTCAGCAAAGGACAACGCCTTTATATCTACAACACCAAGAAAGTATAGAGATATCTAGGTCATGATTAATGCCAGATATAAAAGCAAACAAACGGTACAAAAATACTTTGTGAAACGCAGACTCAACAAGCAAACATTTAATGCAAGATCAGATGCATTAAATGCAAGAATCCAAGAAGCCTGTGCAAACTAAACAAGAGAATCAGATGATGGTTAGTCAAGCATCAAAACGAGGTATGCTCACGGACGAAAGAACATTCAACAAACACCAGATGAGGATTACTACCAAAAAGAGACATTGGAGCATCAGCAGAAGCTAGATGGTCAACTCTGTTAAAAGAATAGTTAAGGCAAGACACATCATGAGAACTAGACAATTCAAGCTAATTGAATAGACAAAGTACAATATGTGCACTAGACGACCATGAGTCCAATATCAGATGGATGTGTGTCAAGAACAACCTCCAGTGCAACATGAAGAAATGGACCAAGCATGAGACAAAGATAAGAAGAAAGTTAACTATGCATCAGACGAAGGACAATACAGACTGAAAGACACTCCAGACGGAAACAATGTCTGTCTATCCACATTGTTGACCAGATCAAAGAAAAAGAAAAGATTAAACTCAGACACTGAGACGAAGGTCAAAATTGAGATGCACAGAACCAACAAATGAAGACGCAGAATGCCACACAAGCAATTAAAGAATCAAGTCTCAAGAGACAAACCAAGGCATCTTCTACAACCACACACAAGTTCTCAACATAAAACACGTGATATAAATGAAGAAACAAAGAAGAAGAGAAGCACGCAAAAGAAAAAGCATGCATATGTCAGAAAAAGTGCATTACTTTTTCAGAAAAAGGACAACGGCTATATTGCTGCATGACCAGAAAAAGACAAACAATTTCTAGGTCTCAGATAAAGTCAAACACTACTGGCAACAGGACAGAGAAGAATACATGCAATGTCTAAAAACAGGAAGCAACATTTAATACAAGACCAAATGCATTAAATGAAAGGATCAAATTAGTCATGAACGACTATATCAGCTTCAACGGACATATGCAATGGGCAAATTTTACAGGCCTATAAGTATGCAATAACCTCAAACCGAAAAAGGTTGGCAAGAAGCAACAAAAGAATAACTATAGGCATTGCCCTGGGATATGAACATTAAGCACTAGAAGTAACATCAAGCCCAAAAGAAAAATAGAGAGATTAAAGATTGATTCTTCATAATCAAATCTACAATGTATCATTATATTCGTCTTTGTAGTCTAAGGTGTTCCAAGTGTATCTTAGGAAGGAAATCTTAGTGAGTGTTGTAACCTTGTGTATCCTCTTTGTAAAGAGTAACCCACACACTTAGAATCTCTGTAGGACTAAGGTAGTGAAACCTTAGAGAGTGTAGATCATATATGTATCCTCTTTGTGAGAATAACCCAAACACTCAAACCTGATTATACGTCTAATATTGTAAAGCCTGAAGAGGCTAGGTAAAGAATACTTGTAAAGCCTAGAGGGGCTTGTCAAAGAATACTCACTACGAGCCTAAAGGGGCTGATTAAAGAATATTAGCGCTGGTGAGTGAAGTTGGCGGGCCAGGAGTGGTCGAGAATACTTGGACCAGGAGTGGTTCTGACCTGGACGGTCCATAATACTCACTACTAGCCAGAAGTGGCTGATAAGAATATACTAGCGCTGGTGAGTGAAGTTGGCGAGCCAGGAGTGGTCGAGAATACTTGGGGAACCAGAAGTGGTTTAAGAATACCAACGCTGGTGAGTGAAGCTAGCAGGCCAGGAGTGGTCGAGAATACTTAGGGAACTAGAAGTGGTTTAAGAATACTAGAGCTGGTGAGTGAAGCTAGCCAACTAGGAGTGGTTGAGAATACTCGTGACCAGGAGTGGCCGTGACTGGGATGGTCTAGAATACTCAAACCTAGAGAGGTCGAGAATACTTGGACCAGGAGTGGTTTTGACCTGGGTGGTCCATAATACTCATTGCTAGCATGAAGAGGCTGATAAGAATATACTAGCGTTGATGAGTGAAGTCAACATGCCAGAAGTGGTCGAACCTACTTGTGTACTTAATTACATATTTAGTAGAACCCTTCAGTTGAAGGAGACTGGACGTAGCTCAGTTGAGAGAACCAGTATAAAAATGATTACACTATTTTATCTATATTTCAGACGCAAACTCTTCTTAATTGAAAAATCATGTTAAAAACCTTGTCTACTGTCTTTTCCTAATTAAAACATTTTTCAGACAAAGACGCAAATTTTGTTTAAGAAATATATTATACTAAACGATTTTATCTACTACTTATCCTTAAATGAAACTATCTTGCAAAGGAAAATGCAAGAACTTTAATTATTATTATAAACCATTTTCCTCAACAGACGATAAATCCTTCAGACGCAATGACCTCGTGTTAAGCAAATTCTTCATAACTGTCTGACATCTAAAAGTACATTGGACGAAGAACATTGCTCTTGCAAAATTGATTTTAAAATTCTTTCATACACACACACATATTCAACCCCCCTTCTATGTGTTTTCATCTAACTTCAGCAGCAACATACTTGGGGGCACGTTCATTAATGAATGCATCACTAGTGACCCAAGGTATACCTTGTTAGCATGTTACATCACTGGTAGGCGGCCTAAGCGACACACCTTGTTAGCTTGTTACATCACTGGTATGCGGCCTAAGCGGCACACCTTGTTAGCTTGTTACATCACCGGTATGCGGCCTAAGCGGCACACCTAGAGTCATGTATGCACATGATGCATGTAACACATTCACTATTTCATTTACTCAACATTTCACTAATCACGACTCATCATATCTCATGTCACATTATTTCATAATATCATATCACAGATCATATGTTCACCTTTCACATTCTCATGTCATATTCACATAGTCTCATACAAGGAACTTCTCTTAGTCATATACATCAAAATAGTACATAAATCATGCCAAGAACTTATCCAAACCATGAAACCATCATCAATTTTACATATAATGCCTCAACATCATCCAAAGATCATATCCCTAATTTTACTTCATAGGGTTTCCCACAAGAACCCATAGAGCACTCTAATTCATATCAAAACTTGTCTATTTTTGAAATTAAACACATATTTATACACAACATTACACAAAGAACGCAACAGAACATTCAGAAAGCAAAATAAAAAGTTTTCATATTTTGCCTGTTGCTAGAAGCATGCATCAGGCAAGGGATTGGGGGCCAATCCAACTACCCAACAATTATTCCCACACCCCCGAGCGAGGTTTCTCATTCCCCCTTACCTGGATAAGTAGAAGACGAAGCTAGAGTGGAATTTGGTTGATCTCATTCTCTTGGTTCTCCTTAGTCTTCAGAGAGTGTGTCTAGAAGTAGTGCCAGAGTCTGTTATTTATAGATGTTAGAAGTGGCTAGAACGACCCGTTTCAGATCCGTAACAGCCTGTTCAGGATCCTTTCATCATGTGTTAAATTCACATCTGGAACGGCCCATTCTTAAACCAGAACGACCTGTTCTGGAGTTGAGTTTAACTCATAACAACCATGTTTGAAACGACCCGTTCTTAAACCAGAACAGCTCGTTCCCAACTAGGGTTACAGGCCTTTTTAGTAGTTTGGAACGACCCGTTCTAGGCTACTAAATATCAAAAAAAAATTCTAAAATAGCTTCATATAATTTATGAAAATTGGGGTGTTACAATTCTCCCCCTTTTAGAAATTTCATCCTCGAAATTTATCGAAAACTTGAACGGATGAACTTCATTGATCTTGCTCTCTACTGCCAAATAACACTTTCCAAAATATTTCCCATCAAAACTATACTAGTAGAAAATCACATGTAACCTCCGAAGTTAGCGGAAATACAAACGGAAGGGGGGGGGTTGAATGTGTGTGTGTGTTCAAAGGAAGATTTTTCAAAATTGTTTTATAAAGATACTCCTTTTTCATTTAATAAAAGGAATATTCAAGCATTTTTGAAAACTCGTGCAGGCTTGTCTGACTAGAAAGCTTTTTGCGTCCAATAAAACTGATCATCTACTTCAAGAAATAAGTTGAGTAAATATGTTTTTCATCTGAAAGGATTTATCTTCCAAAATAAATTATTTCTTCAAAAATAGTGGACAAGTGTGTTTTCGTCTAACAGTTTGTTGAAATGAAAGTAGATGAAAGACGAAGTTTTTAAACAAGTAGTGTTTGAGAAATAGAAAAAGATATGCACAGATTTTTATACTGGTTCACTCAATCTGAGCTACGTCTAGTCTCCTTCTACTTAAGGGTTCTACTAATCATAGAGGATTACAAGTATTCTCAACCACTTCTGGCTCGTCAACCTCACTTGTCGACGCTAGTATTCTTAACCACTTCTGGTTCTCCAAGTATTCTTGCCACTTCTAGCCCGCTAGATTCACTCACTAGCACTAGTATTCTCAAAACTACTTCTGATTCACAAGTATTCTTTTAACCAGCCTCTTCAGGCTTTACAGCAAATGAAGGTGTTGAGTGTGTTTGCAACTCTCACAAAGAGGATAGGATAGTTTCTACACTCACTAAGGTGTGTAACATTAGTTTTACAAGAATAAGTGTCTGAGTGTTTTGTTTACTCTCGTAGAGAGGATAGAATATTAGCAACACTAAGATAGGTTATCTTAGTTTCTACACAGATATATAGGAAATTCTTTGAGAAGAAATGTAGCTTATGCTTTTTCGCTTTCTTTTTCTTGTTGCACGTTTTCTCTACATCTCTACCTTGATACTTATAGCCTTTGATAAATTTGCCCGTTGTTTGAATTCAAATTTTCCCGTTGGAGCGAAGCTTCATGTCGTTGTAGATGGAGGTTTGTTCATGGCTATGTAAATCTTTTCATTTAATGCATTTGATCTTGCATTAAATGTTTGCTAGTATACGTGAAGTCCTTTTGTATAGTTGATTACTTCAATGTCTGACTTCAATCATGATCTAGGCATATTTATACTTTTCTCATCAGTTTAGCTGCTAAGGTGCTGTCTTTCTGTGAAAAGTAGGTGTCCTTTTTCTGACACACGCAACTTTGACCTGTGAATTCACGCTTGCCTATTTTTCTTCTTTCTGTATTCAGGTTTGATGTCTTTTTGTGTTTCTTGTATGATTTCACTCAATGTGATTAGTGGACTTTAGACGCGCTTCATTATTTTTTGACTGCGTTTAGATACACATTTTAGTTTTGATTCTTCGTCTGGTCTTGACTACCCTTTACGTCTAGCCATGAGAGTGATGACTTCTTTTGCTAGTTTGTTAGGCTCTATCTGATGATTTTGCAACTCCATGTTGATGTTTAGCCGACTTTCGTCCCGTTCTGGACTTAGTCTCATATGATGCCTGTTTTGGTCTTACATCTGATCCCTCTGGCTTCAGCTAATAGATTCGTCTTATCTTGTATTTGATTTAGGCCTGGATCAACCTTAGTCTTGATACTAGCTTTGCTATCGTTTGATGTCTTGTTCAATTCGATTATGCTTGATCATACTTTGTCCTTCATTTTTGCCTGAACTTATTGTTATCCATCTTAAACACTAATGCACATGTTAGGAATAACAATATGTATTATATTTTTCATATTCAAAACCTCGATGCGAATTGCGAATGCGCTTTGTCTGAGTTAACAACCTCACTACCTCACTGATGTGCAACTCTATCAATCTCTCTAAGAGATATCTATTATCAATACGGGTAAGACAAGCAAACTTGGTGAGTCTATCCACTATAACCCAAAAAGAATCAAATTTCTTAAGCATCTTTAGGCAAACCTACAACCAAGGTCTATCTACACCCATCTCACTTCCAAAATGGAACGTCTAAAGGTTGTAAAAATCCTAAAGACTTTTAGTGTTCTACCTTAGACTTTTGGCATACTACACACGAGTACACAAATTCATGTACTTCTCTCTTCACCTTAGGCCACCACGCTTCCATTGCGTCACTCTGATACATCCTCCTAAGGTCCTGATACATCTTAGTAGCTCTCGAGTGAATACTAAGAGTACTTGTATGTCCTTCTTCTAAGATCATCTTCTTAAATCTAGGATTACAAAGCACCCAAATTTTATTCTTGAATTTCAAAACAACATCAACTCCTACTCGAAAAGGGCTATCTATACCCCTACCAATCCTCTC